TTATGAATAATTTTCTTTTCTTGCTAGAAATTTTATTTCTTTTATGTTTTCCCACTGCCCTAGGGAGGCCAATGCGGCGGCAGATTTATTGGCTAGAAATTTGGAGTTCTCTCATACAATTGTTTGAAAATCAAAGCCTGCAGGGTTTCTAGTAGATGTATTAACAAACGATGTATCACTTTTTGTGCATGAAATATAAACCGCCATGACGGCTTTCTCTCAAAAAAATAAAAAAGAAACAAATCAGCAGGTCCGTAAAATCCCGTTGCTTTAGTGCGTGTATCTAGCATTTTTGGTACATCAGCCACATCCGACGGCTCACGCGCAGCCGCTCGGGAAGCCAGAATCGTACGCGTGCACGACGAAGTATTTATCTCTACTCTTATAAAAAACAGAGTTGATGATGATGGTGTGTCCGTCATCCTATAATGTAGGCCGTCCGATTTATATCTGACGGATAGAAAGGAAACTATGGCAATTTTATAAAAGAATACCCACACACCTCTTCACATTTGCAAATAAGACTTTCCTTTATTCATCATTTTCTCTTATAAGATAAACTACTCATACAAATGCATCTTAATGTTTCGTGCAATGCACGGGCATCTTGCTAGTATAGAGAAAAAAGGGGGTAAAATCCAGGCGGGGAAAACCGGAAAAGGAGGGTTTGCGCGGGCCGTCTCGTGCAGTCGTGCTCTCGCGCGCTTCGCCGCGAAGAGCCCAGCTCCGGCCGGTCGAGCGCCGTACCGCAGAGGAGAAACCACGCCGCGCAGCCGTTGGGGACTGGGCAGGAGCGCCGCCGCGGGCCGGGGAGGAGTTCCAGGCCGCCGGGGGGACTCAAATGGTGACGCGCTTCGCTCCCCGCGTGAAATCTCCCCGTCTCGGTCGCTCCATGTGGGCCGAAGCTGCTCCTCTTCGTTCCGAACCACACCCACCGCCCGTCTTCTCCGTGCCGCCACTGCAAGACCTCAACGCCCGGCTGAAGCGCCTGGTCCAGTCGGGCAGGCTCTCGGACGCGCAGGCCCTGTTCGACGGGGCGCCGCACCGCGACGAGGCCTCCTACTCCGCCCTCCTCGCGGGCCATGCCGCGGCGGGGGACGTAGCCGGCGCCATGGCGCTCTTCTCCCGCATCCGCGCATCCTCGCTCCCGGCCGCTGACCCCTTCGTGCTCAGCCTCGCGTTCAAGGCCTGCGCCGCGGCCGCCGACGCCAGCCACGCCGCGTCACTGCACGCCTTCGCCGTCAGGTCCTCGGCCGTCTCCTCCGTCTTCGTCGCCACCGCGCTGGCCGACGCCTACGCCAAGGCCGGCCGCCTCGCGCTGGCGCTCAGGGTGTTCGACGAAATGCCGCTCAAGAACGTGGTCTCCTGGACCACGCTCATCTCCGCACTGGCGCGGGCCGGCCGCCGCCACGACGCGGTCCGCCGCTTCGCCGAGATGCGAGCCTCCGGCATGCCCTGCGACTCGCACGCCTTCGCGGCTGCGCTCACCGCGTGCGCCGACACCGGGCTGCTGTCGCGCGGCCGTGAGGTGCACTCGCTCTGCGCCAAGCTCGGCTTCGACGCCACACCCTACGTCGCCAACACACTTGCCACGCTGTACGCGCGCTGCGGGGACGTCCACCGCGCACTGGCTGCGGTCGGCCGCATGGGCTCGCGAGACGTTGCCGCGTGGACGACTGTGATATCCTCCTACGCGCAGACTGGTCGTGCCAAGGAAGCCATCCTGGCATTCGTCGCGATGCTTCGTGACGGGGCATCAAACGCGGCAAGGCCCAACGAATACACATACGCTGCAGTTATTGCTGCGTGTGCAAATATTTCGTGTGTACATCTTGGAGAGCAGTTGCACGCGCAAGCTGCACAAAGAGGGTTCGCCAGCTCGCGCTCGGTGGCCAATTCACTCGTCACACTCTATGCCCGCGCCGCCGGTCGTCTGTCAGCAGCCGATGCGGTGTTCCAGGAAAGTGCTGCCAAGGATGTTGTCTCTTGGAGTGCAATCATATCAGGCTATGCGCAGGAAGGGCTTGCCGGGGAGGCTTTCGCCCTGTTTACTGAAATGCGACGGCACCATTGTCCTCGTCCAAATGAGTTTACTCTTGCCAGTCTCCTCAGTGCGTGCGCAACTGCTGCGTCACTGGACGCTGGTCGCCAACTCCACGCACTTGCTGTCGCTGCTGGACTTGAACACCATGCCATGGTCAGGAGCGCGCTCATTGACATGTATGGAAAGAGTGGCAACATGTCAGATGCTGATGTTGTATTTTCGAATCGCACGAAAGATGATGTGGTTTCATGGACCGCGATGATCGTCGGGAATGCTGAGCATGGCCACAGTGAAAGGGCACTTGAATTGTTTGAGGAAATGTGCCGTGTTGGGCTAAAGCCGGACCATGTTGCGTTCATTGGTGTGCTCAGTGCTTGCTGTCATGCTGGGGCAGTTGAGCTTGGATTGAGGTACCTCAATGCAATGAGCAAAAGCTACGGACTGGAGCCGTCAAAGGAGCACTATGGCTGTGTCGTAGATTTGTTGGGCAGAGCTGGTAGAATAGATGAGGCTGAGGAGTTGATTGGTGGTATGGCAGCTAATGAAAGAGATGGCGTTGTTTGGACATCTTTGCTTAGGGCATGTGCAGCTCGAGGGGAAGAGCAAACCGGGAAGAAAGCTGCAGAGAGGGTAATGGAGGCAGAGCCATGGGGTGCAGGAGCACATGTGGCAATGGCAAATCTATACGCCAGCAAGGGACAGTGGTGTGAGGCAGCACAAGAGAGACATATGATGAAGCAGAAAGGGGTTGTGAAAGGAGTAGGCTGGTCATCAGTCACAGTTGGAGGGGAGGAGAGGGGAGTTGGGGTGTTTGTTGCAGGTGACCGGACACACCCCCAAGACAATTTGATCTATGAGATGCTTGACTTGATTTACTATGGAGTTGGAATGGCTCGGTATGTACCCGATCAGATGAATTTAGCATCTGAGGTAGAGCTAATGGTTAACACTTACAGTAGTAGTTATAACTGAGTAATTTCAGAAGGAGATAGGCTTGAAAAGAGAAAAAAATATATAGAAGTCCTTGGCACGATGAGCGCTAATGCAGCCATGCGACTTAAAAGTTCTGCTGCTGTGCTGAAGTACTGATTTAATACTAGTAGTTCTTTGGTATTACCACCGGGGCTTTGATCTTGGTATACTTTTGATAAGATGGTTGATTGCCTGCAGCATATATGTATGAGGCAAGAGTTCTCCGTTGAAGCTTCAGCGCTCAGGCTGGTGCCAAAAGTAGCAGTTCTGTGTCTACCACAGATCAGAGCAACAAAAGTTCTGATATCTGCATCAGAATTGCATTGAAGATCACTCCTTGCTCTATGGACTAATACATGTTTGCGGCATTGCACAAAGGCTTGGACCAGACAATGATGTGATGGGGGATTGATGTTTTTCTCTCTCTTAAGAAGTGTGTGCCTCACTGATCCCCTTCTTTTGAAGGAAGCCAGACCACATTAGATATATCAGCATTCTTTCCAGCAACATTGTTGCACCGGTGGCACCCAAAGTCGTGTCAACTTGTATATCATACTAATTGGTTAGTATCTTGATTCTTGACAAATATATTGATAGCTAGGTGGTGATTCAGCTGAAGCTGGGTAGACATCACTCTGGTCGATAATTTTGAGTCTGGGTTTGCAGAGCTGATGCCTTTAGTCATTTTGAGATAATTGCTACTCCCTTCGTTTCGAATTATAAGATGTTCTAAATTTTTCTGAATTGGATGTATATAGCCGTGTTTTAGTGTGTTTGTTCACTCATTTTAGTCCGTATGTAGTCCATATTGAAATATCTAAAACATCTTATAATTTGGAATGAAGGTAGTACTTGCCTACCCGCCAAATACTCTAATCTTGGTCATTGTCAGGGTCACCGGGGTGCCACCACAAATATGATAGAAACAGGATAGCTATCAGCAAAGTATCTAAGTTCGAGCTAACAACATCTACAAACTTAGAACTGATGTGCACATGTGCTGATGCGCATACAGAGTTAAAGAAATAAGAAAAATGAATATAATTGAATAAGTTTTTTTGTGGGATATAATTGAATAAGTTTCAGTTTATTTAGAATGTACAAATCAAAGGAGATAGAAAAAAAATTACATCTATGAAAGGAATATAGATGATCATCTGAAAGGAGTCATCGCAAAGGCAATTAAGGATGGCAGAATTATTGACATTCCATTTTCTAAAGTATTTTATAAGCTTATCCTAGGACAGGTATCTTGGACCCTACATTTTTGAAATGTATATTGTGTTTATTACGCTTTCTTACTTTTGTTAGTCTATATAGTAAGCATTTCTTGTTAGGAGCTTAATATATACGGTAACAATTCATTTGATCCTAAACTGGCAACGACCCTCATGGAATTCAAAGCACTTGTCAAAAGAAATACTAAGTCATGTTCGACGGGGGATATACCAGAACACATCTGATTTGTCTTAATGAGGTTGTAAAATTGAGGATCTTGATATTGACTTTGCGGTCCCAGGGTATCCAGAATATGTGCTTTCTTCAGAGGGTACCTCAGATAATGTAACTGATATGACTGCACTCTCAGTTGCTGGCTTCTCAGCAGATTTAAAAGTATTCTCTAAATTACTCATGTTATTTTTAGGTAACTGATGAGAGTTTGGAAGAATATGTTTCTTTTGTTGTCAACAGTACGGTTAAAAGTGGAATCTCAAGACAACTGGAGGCTTTTAAGTCAGGATTCAGTCAGGTATGCTGTATCATGGCGCTGCTCTCGTCTGTATTTTACTTAGGTAACTTGGGACAGCTTTTCAGTTACACCATCTGAAAGAAGCTTTTGAATTACACTATGGCTAGGTTGGCCCCAGTTCACAAATTGGGGAGTGTGAGTAGATGTATTGTTACTTAGAAGCTATCAGGGCTCCACATTTCGTAGTTTATACGAGTTCTACTCCCTTTGATAAAGTTACTAGGTTGCTGTTTCCTACTAGCATTTTATCTTTAGAGGAACTTGGCAGTAATGCTCTAATTTGACAATGCAAAAACCCTTTCCTTATTTTTTTAAACCCTGTGTATTTCTTAAGCAATCTTAATCCAATATGTATAAACTTATACTTGTTTCTGAAAGTAATTATTTTGCTTCGGCAGTCGACTTGCTCTCTGTCCTTTTACTACATCTGTCCATTCAGGTGTATTTAGATGTGAGATTGCTTTCTGTACTTTGATCTGTAACTCATGAGCCTTACATGGGCCCTATAGGGTGACATGCACTCGATGTTCACTTCTCATTTTATACATTTCACTCTTCTCTGGTGTTGTCTCTTACTGCCCGCACAGTCAAAAAATCCATTTTGTTGTTGTCCACTGACACTGGGGATTGCAGGTATTTCTACTAAGCACACTTCAGGTATTCTCAGAGGATGAGCTGGAGAGATGACTCTGTGGAGAACAAGATAATTGGGATGTATGTGCTTGTCTTTTGTTGGAAGTTGTTGATTTTTTTTGTAACCATTCAATTTTGCGAAAATTTTGTTTTTCGTTACTGACCCCTTGCTTCTGATAACTTTGTGGAACTTGTGGATCACATAAAAATTTGATCATGGCTACGCACCTCCAGCAGTCCTGCAATCTTCTCCCGGATGATGACCTGCCTAGTGTGATGATTTGCGCTAACTATCTCAAGTGACCTGCCTACTGCACCAAGGTCTGAACTCACTACCCTTCTATAAATTGAGCATCATAGTAGATTAATTTAAATCTATTCTTCTCGCCCTTTTTATTAATTTAAGTTAGGTTCTGTAATGTCTCGACGTAACACTTGAGCTAAAAAAGCTATGGACTATGAAGTATGAACCACCAATCGCTCAACCCAGGCACGTCCAAGTCAGTCGTAATTGGCATTCTGAACATGCTATTTCAGGCATGATGATTTGCAGTAGTTAGTTCCAGTTATTGCATGTTTGTATTTCCTGAAACGGTACCATATGATGACCTCTATGCTGATGAGGTTATCTCCCACTGGGCAGGCCCATGGCGACATATTACCCAGCTAAGGCCCATGGAGGCTCAAGCTCATTATCTTTACAGCCCAAGGCAATGCTAGTAACAGGGGGGTTTATCAGTCAGTGTGGGCACCCGTAAGGAGGATTCCATCAGTCGACGATCAGTTGGATTAATCGAGGACACGATATGACGAAACCTAAACTGGCAGATCTCGAGGTAGGGGATTCTAAGATGGGCGTCTAGGAACGATGGTAACGCCCTGTTGGAGTTGTGTCAAATATAGTGTACGAGGTAGATTACAGTTGGATTTGTAGTTGTATTGTGTTTAGATAGGATATGGAGTCGTGTTTTAATAGGACACTTGTATCCTAGGCCTCTCATATATAGCGGAGCTAGACACACGATGTAACCTATGCCAACATAATAGCACAGGCACGTAAGGGGGAGCCGGCGGCATGTGCCGGCACCTGGATGGCCGGTGTGCGGTATTGTGACGGTGTCATGGGGAGGAACGCCCGTAGTCAAGCCCCGGGGATGTAACCATATCGGTGAACCTTGTTAATAAATCTCGGTGTCGTGCTCGTGTGATTACTTGATCCTCAGATGATCGACAGTATGTCTCGGATTTTATTCTAACAAGTGGTATCATGAGCTAGGTTGTTTGGAGGTAGTGGATTGTTGATCAAAGAGGTGGAGCAGAATTTGTCGAATCGGTCGGCGGTCGAATCATGCGACTGGAAAAGATTGATGGAGGCGGCGGGAGTTCTGTTCGTGTGAGAAGCAATCGAGCCGTACATCTCGGCGAGATCGGATGTGCCGACGGTGGCGTAACAGGTCTGGAGTTCGGCTCGATCCTGCGACGTGCGAAGGCGCTACGCACCAAGGGCTACGTTGGCCCCAGGCAGCGGCCCAGGTGCAGAGGTCCAAAAGCTGGCGGGGCCTCGGGGCCAGGCGCTAGAGGCAGACGCAGGCTGAAGGAGTGGAGGCGTGGACGAGGCACGGTGTACGGAAGTGCAAGCTGCAGCCGTTCCTGAGATTTGTTTTGGACAAAAAAAGGGACCGAGTCCCAGGAGGAGCCGTGTTCTCCTCGTCTATGTGGCGGGTTAATATCAGTCAGTAAGGGAGAGAAAGGCACGAGGCAAAGCCGATCAGATTGTAGAAAATAATTCATCGCTGATTGTGTTCATCCATCGGGAAGGCAAGGGCTTTAGCTAGGCAAAGCTAGCAGTGGAGTTGAGCCACGGGAGACACCACGTGAAGGCCAAGAGTGATTCTTTGGTTTGTTTAGCTATTAGTACGTGGAGATTCAGTTCGTGTACTTGGGGCATTGTGTGGAAAGCTTAGATATTTTCTTTCATAGGGTCAGTCATACAAAGGGCCATGGCGCCAACGGGTACTAGGTTTGAGGTGGAGAAGTTCACGGAACTGAAAACCTTAGATTATGGCAGATAAGGGTGAAAGATTTGCTGGCGTAACATGGATGCTTGAAGGCGTTGTAGGAAGTCATGTCAGCTAAGATGAGATTATCATGTGATGGATGGAAATGGCGCAGAAGATGATCTGGGAGCCTGGGTCGGACTAGACAGTCTGACGGATCGACGTGAGTCGGTTGGTACAGAAGACGGTGGTGGAATCAGCGACGACGACATAGGTGCGTGATGCTGATAGTAACCGACTTCTGGGGCGTGGAAACACGTGGCGCAGGCCCGAGGGTTTGTGTGGCTTCGACAAGACTATGGCGCAGAGTTGATTCAAGACGGTGCACATGAGAGTTTGGAGTCGACGCGGTGCGGGGTGGCAAGTACAACCATTATGGAGTCATGTTGAAGGTGGAGCTGGATTGAGGAGCTACGGTGTAAGAATCCAGATAATCGAAGCCTATTCAGCGGAGGAAACGAGTGACATGCAGTTCGGACTGGAGCCCAGTAGTCTGATGGAAGCGTGAAACTCGTCATCGGTCGATGATGATCAGTGATACTATGCAGTGGGGGTTGAGT